ATTATGAATTTCCTGAATGTGCAACATGACCAGGAGCAACTGGACAGGATTAGTGCTGTATGTTTCATCTCCAGCTGTTTCATGAATACCAATCTACAAAATCTTCCAAGAAGAACATTTTTTTATTTTTTTTCCATGGCCCCTACTCTTGGCTTTAACAATGCAAGCAATACTGCTTTGTTTTCTTTAGAGCCTGAACTGAAATAAGAGCTTTCAACAAAACAAAACCAAAGCAAACCTAACGAGCCAAAGAACTGCACACTGTTAAGGAGATTTAGCTGAACTATTTGTAAAATATCAAAAGGAACATCCTTCTCATTGGCAAAAGTGGAACTAACACTGCAGAGATGCGTGATTATGAGACAATAAATGAGAGTATTTTCTTCTGGTGCAGTGGTCAGAAGTTATTGTTTTGAATAAGCACAAATGGTGTGTAATCTTCATGGCAAGCTTCTTGAATTGGTTAAGCGCCAATGCTCTTTGGAAGCTCTTGGCAGATGGGACCTTATTTAAACTTATAAAACCAATGTAGACGAAAAAATGTAAAAAATGCCCTGTGTAAGTCCTCGGCTTGCAAGCAGAAAAATTATGAAGACAATGGTGCTTCTCATGGAAGAGGGGACAACAGGAACATTTTCTTTCCATGATGCCTTTGTAAAGCTTAAGAAACAACTAATAGCATAATATCTCTGACAAACAACAACTTCTGGTGTGCCAGAAATCACATCTTTAGAATAACAGCACTGGCGTTTAGAGGGCCTCTTCTAGCTGCTGGTGAAGCCCCTGGGTCTTTTGTGACTTCTAGTAGAGTTTGACTGGGCATATTTATTGCTTACTAGTAGTCCGAGAGATTCAAAGACCAAATTAAGAACTTGCCCATTAAATGTAGTAAAAGGTTGTCCAATAGGTAACTGTTTTTATCAGAGTGATGTGCAATGCAAAGTTACCGTGCACCCCACTAACAAGAGAGGCAGATAATTTTTATTTCAGAGTGATTAGTCCTCTGATCTTCTCCCAAGAATAGGATTTTTGGGGCTTAATTTCTGCACATGTTATTGAGCATGAGAAATACTGACCTGTGTCCTAAAAAGGGAAAAATCTGATAATACCATGAATACAAACTCCTCACCAAACTCAGTCAGTTTATGAATGCAAAAACATGAGTATACGCTCAGTGAATAACTGGCATTCATTTCCTCTAAATAGAGAGGTACAGATAGAAATCCTGGTTCGTGCTAATGTTTACATGCCCTAGTTACTTAAAAAGTGTGTCCTGCAGAATTTGGATTCCCTGCAGTAAAAGTGATCATTAGGAATTACAAACTACTTATGCTGACACAGATCATCTTTTTGTGCCGGTCTCCACGGGCACTATCTTAAAAATAAAATATGGTAAAGTTTGAAGGAATTCAATGTACTAACCAATGTGCCTTTAGATTTCATTTTTTCAGATAAGAAATAAGACTACTGTGACCAGATAGTACTTTATGATTTTGAATAGACAATTGCTTAAATTGCACTAACTTTAATCGTTTGTGATACATAAAGGGCCCCAAAAAGGGTTTATTCACAAGCAAAAAATGATTATATGGTCCCATCTTTATTCTTTGGAAGGAGTAAGTTACATGATCACAAAGAGGAGAGAGGAGAGGTGCTACATCATTTTGTCCTGGATGTTTTCATGAGGAGATCATCCAGCTGTTTGAGCATCCTGCCCTTCCCACCTCGCTGAGCCCTTCCCCTGGCAGAGCGAGTGAGGGATGCTGCAGTGCCCACTCTCAGACTGCTGAGGGGTCACCTAGGCTCTTTCTTGATGAGTATGTCTCTCTTCATCCAAGTTGCTGCGGGCCCTCAGAGTAAGAGTCCGAACCCAGAGCTCTTGCTATGGGTAAATGTAACGTGTTAGACACCGAGTCCTGAGCCAGCCCACCCATAGCTGCTCAGAGATGTAGTAGCGTGCATGGAGAGAAAACTCCTGCGGCCACAGTCCCCCCAGGGTTTGGGCAGAACCATCCACCCTATGTGCTGGTGCCATGTGCTATTAAAAATGACTGAGGGCAGTACACCCCTGGTAAAAAAAAAACAAAACGGTATTCATCAGATAAATCAATCAGAGCGTTTTCTACTGTCAAACAGCACCGATGCCAAGATCTCAACCTGTCTGCTCTCCGTAATACAGAACATGCAGCTTGTCGCAATAGTAAAAGTTTAACTTGAATCCCATCAGAAATGTGAGGGAAAGTATCTTGTGAGAACAAAGACTATCTTCGCGGCTTTTACGACGATGTCTGATCTCCAAGGCCACATCCCCATTGTATGGAGAGAGTTTCCACAGGCCTCTCTCTGGGATTTGTCACCAAATTGGAGGGGATGGCTGACAGGGATGATGGCAGAATACAGGATTTAGAATTGGTTTGGATCCAGCCCCAGTCAACAGTGTCTAAATTGTTACTGTGAGATGGCCTGCTTGAAATGAGTTAGGGATTTCTGTCTGGTCCTTATGCATCTGCAGCTTGGGAAGGACTGTCCTGGGGACATGGATCCAAGAGAAAGACCAAAGAAGGTGACAGTATCATCCCTTTGTCCTGCTCCTCTACAACAGGCATATGTGGGGAGACGGAAGAGACACGTTGTTACGTTTCTGACAGCACTTGCTTCCTGAATAAAGAGAAAGATCTCACTGTGATAAAAGAAAAATATGCATGTTATTGAAAAAAACCCCAAACTCATCAAAACAGAAAAGTTAAGTTCATGGCTTTGGTCTGTGTTTATTTGGATGATAGTTTAGGTCAGTCATTTTCTCCAGCATAATTTGTCTGTCCCAGCTGTGTCACCACTTAACCTAATCCTTTTCCTTTTCAGGGGCAAAAGACGTTTCCTCCTGGTCTGATTAATTCTTTTCCTAAATGAGCTGGCTCAGGGAGTAAACCATTAAAGAAATAGTTTTATCTGTTATTTATGTAGGAACTTTCTGAGGAAAAGCAGTCCTTGCTCCACTCTCCCCTGCCCTCTTCCTCGGTTTATAAGCCGTGCCCAGTTTCCATTGAACCAGGTTACAGTTGCTGTTAACCATATCTGCTTTTCCAGTTCATCAGCGCGGCGTGGCTGAATTGAAAGTGCTCCAAGCAGAAGGTATGCATTTGCTCCAGGCCCAGGCTGGCTTTGCTTTATTTTTTCTGAGTCTGGCCACTTCCACAGTTCCAGGTGAGGCTGGAAATGTCCCCGCGCTCGGGGCCTCTGCTTTGACTCTCCAAATGAGGACCTAGCTTTCCTCTGGCCCATCAGATCGAAAAGCTACAAATCAGTCCTGTGGTTTCACTTCCTTCCTCTTCTTTATTTCTTTACATTTTGCTCTCTTCAGGTTTGATTTTGTTAACTCTTCAATTTAAATTTTGGTTTTTTTGGTCATTTTCCAACTCTGGTTAGTGATTTTTTCCTTTCTAAACCAATGTCTTCACTCCCTCCCTCTGTCCCTTTTCTCTAACTTTTCCTTCACAAAACAGTCTACAAGACCAAGTCAAGACTTTACCACCCTAGTGAATAATTAATCTCATCTGACTCTGTAACTCAATCCAGGATCATCAAAAAGTCTGCATGTTTTGGGTCATTAATAAAACAAAACATTTTTCTACTTTTAGATTTTACTCATTACAAAAGTTTTTGCAATTAACAATGAACAATACTTGGTGCTAGCTGACCATTTTACTTTGAAAAATCTTTCCCATGGGAAAATGCTGATTTGTTATTTTCATAGGAATTACCTATTTCAGATAACTTTATTTTCATTTTTCTGTGTTTTGGTCACAACCCAACACCCCTGCCCCCCCCCCCCCCCCCCAAAAAAAAAATCAAAAAATCCAGCCTAGTTGGGCATGATGTTTTGGTTTTGCCAAACTTCTATGCCAAACCATTTTTATCTGTAGTGTGAATTCCAACAAGAAGTAGAACATCAAGGAGTTCTATGTAAAAAATGTTTATGTTGATACTTTAATGGAAGCTGATAAAAATACACCTGGTCTGCCTAAGACCACAGGGTTTTCTAGTTTCTGAAAGGAAACGGTGCTGTGGTGGATAAAGTGGATCAACTGCTGAGAAAAGCTATAAAGAAAAATAACATTGAAGAATATAGCCATGGAGAGAAGGCAGAGCGTAGGGGGTATGGGTGATGAGCTTTTGCGGAGGAACATTTGATACCCGAAGGACTGAGGCCAAATCAAAAGACCCTTTAGAGCCTGTCTGTGATCTGGGGCGTGGGTGAGGCCGAGCCCTGTTTTAATCTTTTCCTGTAACCAGATTAAAGCTCCAGTCATGATTCCTACATAGCTCGGAGGCAGTGCTGAGAGGTAAACGACCATCACGGTTCCTCCAAGATCTCTTCCAGAGCCAGGGGATAAACTTTTCTTCCGGGCTCCAACAATTTAATTAAGTCAGAGCATTTCTTAAGCTCTGAAATACCGCAGCCTGAAGCTTCTCCTCCTCGCTCTCAACCGATGGAAATGCAGGAGCGGCCTCACTGATGGTCCAAGGGTTCTTATATTTTGGTGTCCTGCCTTTGCCGCAGCCGATGCTTCGGGAAGGAAGAACAGAAGAGCGCGGGGGGGACGTAGGCAGATCCCAGCCTTCAACTATTTGGGATTTCCCCGCTCAGAAATGGCATTTTTGTGACAGCAGGGACCAACCCCTGCCCCGGCGGCTGGAGGCCGCTGGCCGGGCGGGAGGAAGGCTCGGCGGGTGACTGACATTCCAGGGCTGCTAACCGGGAACAAAGCAACGCGGCTGGAATTGGGAGGAACGGGGAAGGGAGGGGAGGGAGGTGGACGAGACGGAGCGGGAGCGGGAGCCCGGCGCTGAGGGGAACGGCCCGGCCGGGCCCCCGCCCCGGCCCCTCCCCGCGCCCGCCCCGCCCGGCTCCCCCCGCCCGGGGCCGGGGCGGCGGCATCGCGGGGCCGGCCCGGGGCGGGGCGGGTGCTCGGCGGGGCGGGGGCAGGAGGGCCGGCGGGGCCCCGCCGCCGCCGCCGCCCGCCTCAGCCGGCTTTTCGGCGGGAGCCTCTACTCCAGAGTGCGCGGTAGCGTGGGCCGTCCGCGGGCCCCATGTGGTGCCGACATCACTGACATGGCGGAATCCCCGCCGAGCCCTCCTGGCACTCGCTCCAGCTAGCCGGGACTCACCGCTGCCCCGCACCAGCCCTCCGCCAGGTAAGGACGCGGCGGGAGGGGAAGGAAGGGGGGGTCCCGGGGGGGGGGGGGAGCCCCGCGGCCCGGCTCGGGGAGCAGCCCCGGGGAGCCGCGTCCCCCGCCCCGAGGCGCCGGTCCCGGCTCTTTTGTTCGGCGGCGGGGCGGGAGCCGGAGGAGGGGAGCGGCGGGACGGGCCCGCGGCAGCACTTGGCGGAAAGTTTTTCTCGGTTTCCCCCCCCACCCCCCGCTTCTCCTCCTCCTCCCCGTCCCGCTCCTCTCCGTGTCCCGCGGCGGGCAGCGCAGGCGGGAGCAGCCCCGCCGCGGCCCTGCGAAGGGCTCCAGCACCGCCCGGTAATCCCGAGAGGCTTGCCCGCTGTCATCGCCTCCGCCCTGCCGCCGGGTGTGGGAAGTCGGGGCCGGTGACACGCGTGGCGTGCGTGTGTTGTGCGTGGCGGCGGCCGCCCCCCTCGCCCCGGGTCCCCCACGGAGGCGCCGCGCCCGTGGGGCGGGAAGGGGCAGGTCCGGGAGCCGGCGGGGAGAGCGGCCGCGGGATGCCGGGCAGGTGAGGGAGGAGAGCGGGGCTGTTCCCCGCCGCCCAAGCGTTCGGGGTCCGGGGGGCATGTTGGAGAAGAAGCTGGGGAAAAGGCGACGAGCGGCCCCGTCCTCCCCGCCCGGCTCTTGGCTGAGGCAGCTTTGGGAAGGAAAACCCTGGAAACTTTTGTGTTTCGCTTGCCAGACACCTTTTTAAAATGGCATGCTACCAGCAGACAGAATGAGAAAAGGAAAAAGTCCTTTAAAAGCTTAACCTCTCTCAGGTTAAGACCACATCTGCATCCCTCCTCTCTGCCTTCCCCCCCCCCCTTCCCGGCTCTCAGAAATGAGCTACTTAAATAAGGTTTTGGCTAAGGTGGTGCGGCTTGGAGTTAAATGTAATGAACCCTTTATCCCATCTATATTTGCGGAATAAAAGGCGGGGGGCAAGCCTGCCTCTCTCCATATTAGTAATTCTGTATTTCATTTGCATTTCTTTGTGTGAGTACCTAAAAGTACTGGCCTGACTCCTTAAAGGGGTAGTTATGCCATCACAGATGGAGGAACTGAGATAGGGAAAAATTGAAGTTTCTTGTTTGGTGGGGTTTTTTGTTACTTCCGTGGCTTTTTTTTTGTTGTGCCATTTTTTATTTGAACTCTGTGCTAGATTTGGGAGGGGAGATTCACGTATCCTAGATCACTGTGCCCTAACCACATTTGCTGTATCCCCTAACCGCTTACCCTGTCAACTAGTACGTTCCTGAAAGGTGCCAAACCAGTCTAACTCGAGCTTAACAATGTGCTAGGTAATGGGATTTCAAACTCGCATGCATTTTTTAAGTCTAGAACACTGTTTCTCAACATTTTTTGCAACTGAGCTTGCTTAAAAAAGGCTGAGTCTGCCGGGCCTGGCAGTGCCTCGGTGCCCACCCTGGTCTGGGGCTTTGCTCCTTTCTGACGAGGAACTGCTGGTCTGGACAGGGGTGACGTGATGTGTGCTTGGCAGGCAATCCAGATAAAGACATCGCTTCCATAAGCCTCGGGAAGCGGCTGTGGGCTCCCTCCTGAGCGGAGGCATCTTGATCTTCCCACCTGGTCCACCGGTGGTCTTGCCTGCTCACCACCCCTGTACCTTTCTCAGCAGTGAGAGATCGTGCTGCCGGTGCTACCAGTAAGAAAATGATTCTTGGCGGTGTTCCCAGGGTCATTTCGGGTCTCGCACAGAAGCGGTCTGTTAGTGCTTTTCTCCTAATCTTCAGCACTTTGTGGTTCCCTTTCATTAGTTTTAAAGCAGTTGTGCTTCGTGGTTGTGTCGGGACCCTGCTGTGACAGAAACCTCTGCTGCCCCAGAAGTATCACATATCGTTCTTCTCAGTTCACTATCTTTTGGCTAGTTTATGCTCATAATGTAGCTTTGAGATGAGTCTGTGTGGAAGTTCATATATTCTACAATTTTTCTTTTTTTTTTTTTTTTTTATGTTTTTGAACCATTGGGACTCATTGCGTTTGAGGTCACTGCTGGGACGGCAATGAGATGGGTTTTTCATACCGTTAGCCTGTAGTTGGCTGAAGGATAAGAAATGAAGAAACATAGCATCCAAAATAAGCTGATATTCTACTATAGCCAAGAAGCTTGGAGCTGTAACTCCATACTGCAAGCATTTTTATCTTTATTCTCGGAAAAATTTGTAACTTCCAATCTGAAGTACGTTTATTCTGGCACTTTTTTTCTACATATGGTATTTAGTGAACTGAAATAAGATTTCTGCATCGTACCTCTTTCTTAGCAGAGAATTTATGTTTTTTTTTCTTTGCATTATAAATTCCTTTAAGTCCTCTGAGAGAGAGATGCAGTTAAGGGCAGTTAAAATTTGCAATTCATAAATCTGTGCAGGAAAAGATATACAGATCATGCAGCAAACTTCTACATGCGTGCGGTTGTTTTCATGAACAGTCTAATTAGTATAATTGACTTTTCCCTCAAAAATGTAGGTTGTCACTCTGGTGAGTGCTAGCACAGAAGCAGAGTTTACAGTATGAATAAATGTTCGTAGTGTGAGGATCTTAATTCCTACAAAATACATATAATTACATAAAAGTCCCAGAGCCAGTATACAGCTGAGTAAACCAGATTACTCTCCACAGTGCTTTTCTTCTCGATATAGTTTTCCATTCCTCTCGAAAGGAGAGACCTGAGGGAAGATGGAGTGACCTGTGGGGAGCAGCAGGACCGGCAGTTTGTCTCCCCACTGAGGATGCCCTGGTAGCGGGTGTCGAGTCTGGAAATCGAATGTCCCAATGCATCAGAAGGGTTTTGTGCAACATGCTGCAAGTGATCTGAGTCCCATTTGTTTGCAGTAGCCCTTAGTGTACAGCAAATGAAATAAATGTCAGAAGAAGCCAGCAGACCCCTGTGTAAATCTCAGCTGTGCAAAATACCAGCGAGGCGAAGATTTTCTCAAACCAGTTGCCCAGAGGACTTGTGCCTAGGTGACCTCCTCTGAGCGGCAGCCGTTGAGCGGCGGAGAATCCTTCAGGAACGGGAATACCGAAAGTCACGTTGTTTACCGCCAAGGTTTAGTGTCCCTGTGTGATCTGTCCCTGGAGATGGAAGGTATGTGGGAAGAGGGAAGTTCTTCAAACAAGGCAGTGGAAATTGGAGACGCTGGATACACAACGGTAACAGGCCATCTACAGGCAGGAATGCCGGTGTGCCGGCAAGCAGATACCGCTCCAGACAGTTTCCAGCGGGGATGCGGTGGTTTGCATTTTTACCAACTCATTCTAAGCACCTCTTTGCAAAACTGAAGTTGGAAGCCCCCTCTCTGTTGGATCACAGGCAGCCAGGGGAAAAAAAAAAAAAAAAAGGCACAAACTAATTAAAAGTGATTTATTGTGGAATTTGTAACAGTGTTGGAGAGATTAGTTGGCTTTCAGAAATGCTGCTGCGGATGTTAAATCTGTGCTCTGCTCTGGATGAAAAATGACGGTGCCATTGAGCAAGTACACAAGAAAAGTGTAGTCTGTGTTAAAATCTGCTCCTGAGCAGGAATATTCCCTGGAGGTCGCAGGTGGTGTGGCTTTGAGCAAATTTTCACGGTGCTTTTAATTGGGAAAGGATGGCTTTCCTTGAGCATAGAAGTTAAAACATACAGCTTCGCCAGTGACATGCTTTCTGTCTTTGATCTAAGGAATCCTTTGTTTACAAGCAAATGGTTTTGTTTGTTAGCAGATAACAGACAAAAAGCCAACTACAACACCAACTGTATAAGAAACATTGTTTGTATTTCTAGTGGTGACAGTTTAGAATGATGGTATATACTGAAAGTTACCATTTGGATACTCTGCTTTTGAAACTGCTGATATGTGTAATGTTATTTATGTAATAGGAAGCAACAAACAATTCCCAAGTAACTAAGTATATATTTTATATTATTTTTTTTTTAAAGAGGACAAAGATTGCAGTTAATACTGATACATGGCATTTGTTTGTTCTGGCATCTGCTTCTAGTTCCTCTAGAAGCTACTCAGTGGAGCGACAAGATGGATTCAGGAGAGGAGTTGCTGCTGTTGTGTTTTGGGTTTTATTTTGTTAGATTTGGGATAACTGAAATCAAACACCCGAATTCTCTGGAGATGAACGTGGTAGGCTTGTCTGATTTCTCTGTTGATTTAGTGTGTAGCTACTTTGTGGCAGCTATGCATATACCTTGAAGCATGCTTTATATGTAAGTCTCTTATAATTGCCTTATATGTAATTATGGACATTTCTATTATTAGGTCCTTGCAAAGGACTCTAATAATAGACTGTGTGTATATATATATTCTATATATATATATATAAAACATACTTCATGCTTTCAGGAATGTTTCATATGGAATGCTTTGAAAAGAGAAAAAAGAAATTGCTCTCAGGAGGCTGTTATAAAAACTTCAATAAGCAACAATTTTAGATGACCCTTGCCACCTTTGGGATGTTGGGGACAGATTTCCCCACGCTTTTAATCTAAACTAGCAAAATATTGAATGTGTTCTGCTTATTTTGTAGCTGTGTCTCTGGGCCTCTAAGCAGCTGTGTCGATTTTACATGGTCGTTCCCTGTTCCCCACTCACCCACTAATAAAACGCTAACATTCATAATCTAAATCCCCGTGTTATTTTTTGCCCTAAGTATTTCTGCCTGATACTTTAGTCAAGCCCAGCGCTGTAGTGAAGTAAGATGGTGTGATTATTTTGGACCTTGGTAGCAGAAACAGCCTGGGAGCAGAGTATTGTCCTGATTTGTTACAGGTTCACCTTACCATTTTTCTTTAGTGCAAGATTAGTTAGCCGCTAGAATTTATTTCCCTTTATAAGTTGCCTTCATTGTGGAAGTATATGCCTATTCAGTAGCAATTCATGTAACATAAATGTCCTTATGCTTGCTGACACTTGAGCTGATGTAGGTATGTTGTGAAGTATTATGCATTGCTCTTTGCTGGTTATTTATT